GAAGCTATCTGGTTGGCGGGGTGCATGGCCCTTCTCTTTTATCAATGTTGGTTTCATATATTGATCATGGAAGGAGGTCAACTATCTATCTGAATGTAATGTGGTCCCATCCTAGGACCTTGGTTGAGCACAGGTTCCATGTCTTTTCCATAATTCCAGGGACAAGTGGAATACTCCTTGCCCACTTGGTTGGGGAGTGAGGATGAATGTTCATAATTCCAGACCAGATGAGTTCTGTTCCTTTGGTTGAGTAGGACATACACGATACTGTTATTCCGAGCCTTTGGACTTCTTCAGGTAGAGGAGAAAGTTTGTCCACTTCGGTGTGACTTACTTTCTCATCGTGATTCCGGTGGTATGAAATGCATCACTTTATGGCTACAGGTTTGGATCCAATCAAAAGTATATATAACATTGCAGTCAAATAGCTCTAGCTACCAACGTGGGATATAGGTACCATGACCCCCTTAATTCCAACCCTGAGTTGTGTAACCTTGGCTATCTGGTTAGGGCTGGTCTATACTGATGATTACACGTATTCTATTCCACCTTTGATATAGGAACTGAGTTCCTGGTGAAGAGCATACCCGTTCTGGATGTAGTGCGGCTCCCCCACTCTTGCACCATCTTTATCTTGGTACACTTCTGTTCTATACAGATGCTTTCTGTTTGTTTCATGCCTGCACTGGCCCCCTCCATCTCCTCAATGTAGGATTCTAGCTATAGTGTCAGTGGAGGTAAGTATGTTTTGGAAGTTAATATTTTCCTAAACTGAAAATGTATTTGCAATTATACTTACCTCCGCTGACACTCTTCCACCCTACCTCCCTACTAAAAGCCAATTTATCTCTCAAAAAAGTGATTATATTATCTGAATGATAATAATACTTATATATGGTACCTAGATAAAGGGTGCATTGAAGTTGGTGGAGAAATTTGCAAAATAGAATTTGCCAAGGGCATTTGAGTGTGGTATAAAAGACTAGAGCAAGCATTTTCAATGCTTAGATGGGCAAAGAGAGGAAACCCTGTAGATCAAGAAATAGCTATAGTGTCAGCGGAGGTAAGTATTATTGGAAATAAATTTTCAGTTTAAGAAAATGTTAACTTTTAAGCTCAGATATTAATAGCTATCAGTACAGATACTACTGTGCCTTGTTTGGATCTTTGCATTAGGTTTTTGGTTTAGATATTTCTGTACCAGTTATTACATGATATTAACTCCTGTTTGGAACTGTGTATTATGTTTTAGGTTTGTTTATTATCAGCTGGCACCATTGGATATTATTATTTCTTGTTTGGATCTGTGCATTATGTTTTAGACTTAGATATTTATTATACCAGTCATTACATTATGCTATCAATTCTTATTTGTCACTGTGCATCATGTTTTACGCATTTGATTATTATCAGCAGGCACCTCAAGTACCTATTATTTCTTGTTTGGACCTATGCATTGTCTGAGGTTTATTTATCAACTGCAATCAATATATAATGTTGCTATTTCATCTTTGGACCCATACATTATTTTAAACATCAGTTTCTTATGATCTAATGCTTTCTATTATGAACTCCATTTTTACTGTCAGAATGAACTCAGTTTATGTTGGAAGATTTAACTGGGATATCTTCATTGTTCCTGGAATATTCCAAAAAAGAACTAAGCCAATTTCAGAATGAAAATCTGATGATTAAGCAAACACATAAAAATGGGATAAAGACCTTTTAGCATAGAGCTTTATAGTAAATTTAGAGTGGTCAGAAAAGTACTACAGTGATGGGATAGATTAAAAATGAGGGATTGTACATTCCGTTGTAAATTTCAGGATTTAAATGAAATGTTTTTTTTTAAGCTAGTTTTACCAGAAAATTTGAAAGTATGTTTCAAATTCTTTTCATGACCATGCTGACATCAAAGCATCAAAGTTTACTGGTATTCATAATAAAGCATTGTTATTGAACTTTTATGACAGCTGATATCGAGAATTGGTGTGAATGTTGTGATAGATGCTTGATCATTAAAGCTTCTCAACCAAAGGTAAAACCAACAATTGGGGTGTTTGCCCCATTTCTAAGCTTTAAGAAATTCTTGCCATGGATTTTACTGTTTATGAAAAATCTACAGATGGTATTGAAAACATTTTGATTCTTACATATATATTTTTTAGTAAATTTACAGAAGAGTATTCTATAAGAAACCTAAATAAGTCACAAATGTGATGTAGTTCTTAATTATGAATTGGTTCTTTAGATACTGTATTCCCTATTGGTTACATTCTGACTGAGGTTGAGCTAAAGCTAAAGATGTAGCTGAATTATGTGTTACAGAAAAATAAAAATCTACAACCACTCTATGGCACCTTGAGACTTGTGGTCAATGTGGAAGAGTCAACCACACAAACCACAATCATCTGAAAATTCTACCCCCAGAAAAATAAAAAGGTGTACTATTCTTACCTCAATTAATCTATGTCTATAATTGTATGCCTCACTCTAGTAAAGAGTTTCTACCAATTTGTATGATTTTTAGAAAAGAAGGTGGGCATCTTATTGATATCTTTTAGGAATATTGGATTATCAGGATGGAACAATTCATGACTGTTTTATAGCATCAAAAATAAGACACTTATCTGATAACCTTTAAACATATGACAAATGCAGCTAAATCTAGGAAAATAAGTTGAGACCTTGCAGGATATGATATCCCAACAGTAATGGGTAATATGGTTCCCCCTTAAGAACATTAATTTCCAAAGTTTAAACGAAATTCAAGCCAAACGGAACTTTACTCCTTATGTAGTAATTTGCAAACAGACAATGTTTATACTGTGCTGATAGCAGGTGGTATGGGCATTGTTAAAAATATAAATAGAATAAAAATGTGGCATTGTGGTTGGTTACGAACAGTTAAGAAAATAGAATGAATACAAAGTTCATTATTTTACTACTCAATCTATGATGTTGAGGAAATTTTGAATTATGCTTTCAACAGAATGATTGAATTTGAATTGTTGAACTCATCTGATCAAGCAAGTGATAACATTTTTGGTAATAATAATAATTTGGTAAATATACCCATATACAATGATGATAATTTGTTTGGGAATTTACAAAAATGTGACCAGCAATCAACTCTGAGACACTCATCTCATAGCACAACTGGAAAATGTTATCATCCATTCAATGAATTAATGAATTTGGAGATGTGTTGGCAATTTTAAGCGCAAGTGTTGGGCAAGTACTCCTTTCTGTATGGAAGAGAAACAAACAATAGTGTATTTTATAGTGGCTTTTTGAGGATAGTAAATCCTAAGTGGGAAAGTATGCTAGATGACATAAGCAATTTAGTTATTTTATTTCATATTGCCTCCATTTTCTAACAAAAGATCTTACTACCAGTATTTTTCAGTATTATATAGTAATCAAAGTGATTGTACTTTGGTGGTTGTTCATGGTTGTTTAATAATATAGATAGATATTTTTTAGGAAATGTATGGTCTGTATCGATTATAATTATCTGATACATAGTGATACTGTATAATTGTTTGGTCATTTTCACGTCTTGAATTATATTCACATATTGTCTGTGTTGTTCCTGTTGTGCATTATTTGCACGTGGAGTCTCATGTTTTAGAGTTCTGATGAAATCATCTTTGTATTTCTAAAGCTTGTTTGTCTAGTTGTTTTTTATTAGTTTGTTGTGGAGTTATGAATTAAGCAACAACACTTTCTTCATTACTATTTTCTTTGTGAAGTGGATTGTTGCATATGAATTTGTCCATTTCATTGATTTTTAAGATATCTTAACACTAATGAAACTTTTTCTGTAGTTAGTTTAATATTATTTATTATAATCTGTACTGATTTTGTGTAGTCTTTTATTTTTACACTGATGAAGATTATTTAGCATTCATGGCTTAGTGTATGGACTTAGAACTAACCTATAATATATCTTTGGAATTATATCCAAAAACTCTCATTAATAATGAGGTAACATCTGGTGATCAGTGAACTTTACTTGGGAATTGCTTTATGATGTTTATTTTTTATAAATAGTTTATTTTATAGGATAAAGTATTTTTTACTTTTATGTTTCAATTTAGTTAGTGTATTATCTACTCATTGTATGATAAGTTTAGTAGTATGTAATACAAAAAAGTATTTTTTATACTTCTATAATATCAGTTTCAGATACTTACTGTTATGTACTGTTTGCAGGCTTTTAGTATAGTTATATTTAATCTTGGTCTTTCTAGTATGAAATTTATTGGAAAAACATATTCTTTGCTGTCCCCCAGAGTTTTATTGTTCTATAAATGAACCTAGACATAACTGCAGGTATTTCTTTAAATCAATATTGTATAAAAACCTAGTGTTTGTAAACTTGTATTAAATATTGTATTTAAATTGATAGATATCACTAAAGTGTTTATTGTAATTTGTTTCAGATATAAAAAATATTACAGAGAGCTGTTTATTATTACTATGTAAGATAATGAAGGTTGTAGAATGCATGAAAAAATCTACTTTTCCTTATTGATTTAACTGACTTGTTGGAGCTATTGGTATGATACATATTTTATAAATACTTATATGACTGGAATTGTGTTTTAGATATTTATTTCTTTTTATCATTATCTCAGTTTTTGCAGATGATGCATATACATGAACATTCCTTTTAAAATATATACATACAAAATAATGCTGTAATCAAGGTTAAAAAAAATTAAAAAACAACTCTGTTTTCCAGAATCCATTGTGTATTGGTTAACCAGATGTGCATGATTTCACAATTCTCCCTTTTTCATAGTTTTTGTTTTTAACAGTTGTATTGCTTAAAATTTGCTATGTTGCCAATGTTTTCAATGTTTTTTTTTTGTGAAAAAGAATGTATTTAAAAAAATGTAAAGGAATTTGTTGATAAAAACTTTGCTTCAATTAAAAAGTACTGTTGTTCTTAATTAAATTACTTAATATTCTATGTTATCTTTCTTTCACAGATTGATGGTGTTTCACTTTACCTATTGTTTCTGGTACAAATGATCAACTCTGGTCTTCAGGTAATGTTTTACTCTTCTTAATATTACATACAGGGATGATAATTGGCTACTGTTTGGTAGATTTTTGCAACTTATACTGTCTGATGATAAAAATGCTCTAATGGTTGGGGATGGAGAGTATGGAGACAAAATACTAGTACTAATAGGCTCAATCCTAGATTGTTTTGTCTGCTTTAATGTTTACCTTAAACTGAAATTTATATGTGAGGCTTCATTTAACTGGCTAATTGACAAACAAAAACTAATCACAAAATGAAGAATAGCAGATAATCAGAAAGGATCACATATAGGTGTGCTTTAAATCTTTTAACTATCCACCTTAATGGTGTGTGCTTTTTGCTCATTTGTTTAGAATTACATAAATAAGACTTTTTCATAGGACATTCATTATTTTTGTGTGAGAAATAGTTTAGATGGAGCCTAAATTAGACATGATCCAGTGAAAGTTGTGAGGAACAGATGTATGACAAACGTCTCAAAATTCTTGTCAATAATTATTAAAAACATATTAAATGACACAGGTTATAAAATTTTTTACAATCTCATAAGTTGTGGTATCATTTTTCATTGGTCAAAAGAGTTGAAGCATGAATTACAATAGAGGATTTATAGACGTGCTTAAGAATTACATTCAGGTTTAGCATATTCTAACACCATCAGTTATAATGCTTTCTAGGATATATAACGCTCTGGTGCCTTGGCTCCCCAAAATTTTGTAAATATTTAGTATCATCTGCTACTTAGCTTATTGCTACATGGCTTCAGAGGCTAAAGTCATTACACTTTGTCACAAAATAAAGGAAAAAAGCAGGAAGTCCTGAGTGTAAAGCCCAGTGATGTGAATATCAAGTTCAGATGTGAACCTGATATCGGGATGTTGGGAATTAAGGTAAGAAAGGAATTTGGAAATGTGACTCAACTGTTGAAATAGCAAAAAAGTGTCATCAATATAGCTTTTGTAAAGGACAGTTTTTTAGCCACTTGCATTCATGGTAGCATAGAAAACTGTTGGCTATTGTTGAACCCAGTAGTTATGTTATGGAACTGCTCATGCAAAGGCTTTGTAAGTTCTGAAAGTATTGCCCTCATATTTTCTATACATATTTCAAATGGTGTGATTATGCATGTTTAGTTGTTTCATATCAAAATTATGTAGACTATAGTGACAATATATAGACAATGGGTGAGTCTAACTGTACATGTCACAGTCTTTTAGTGAGTTATTATCAAAATTTAATTAAACTGCTTTTTGTTTGTTATACCAATTAGTATAGCATAAAAGCATAGCTAATAATCTACATTTTAATAGTATATATGTTTTAATTTTATTAGGCAATATTTTGAAAAAATCCTGAATTTCCCCTGGTGTAAGAAATGTAACATATTTTCTCTAGGCATCCCCTATTCTCTAATTTATTCACCACCCCTCCATTATGTATGAAATTTAACGTAAATTACTCACTATAAAATTGTCATTGCTCAGGTAAACCATAATTTTATAGCCTTTAATCTTGGATGGTTACAGAACCATCAAATAGAAAGTCAGACCCCTCTTGCTACACCCACCTGTCACATCTTCTCTTTTAGGATTTATTAACAGTTCTTTTTTATGTTTAATGATATATTATTTATAACAATAGAAAGCCAAGGTTTTCATCTATCAAATGACGTATTATATTGCATTGTTTTCTGAACAGAGAATTGTCAATTCCTCTTTTAGTACAAGCTTTGTTCCCATGGGAAACATATTGACTAGCTTGGATGAATTTGTAATGGGTTTTGTTACATAGTTAGAAATCCAGAAAAATTGTGATAGTTAAGGGACATTATTTGCTTTTTGCATGTTAGTATTCTATGTTCTTTGGTGCATTATTTAATTGAATAAAAATTATTTAGTGCATCACTACCATTAGTATAAAAAAGTAGGGTTAAGTGTTATCGACAGTCAACAGCAAAAAAAAAGGAGACCAGGGTAAGTACTTTATTTCTTGTATAAAAGTAACTAAAATAGAAAATTAAGGGTCTCTTTAGGTCAGTGAAGATTAGATTAGGTAAAATAATTATACAAATAATATAATAAAAATGTTTTATGAGGCATGCACGCGAGCAGCTCATACTTGGAGTAGCTCGTGGGTAATATAATTCAATGGTGTAATGTGAGCTGCACATTCCCCAAGTGATTTACAACTTATAATGGCATAAATAGTAGTTAGTTGTTCAAAGGGCAGTCACAGAGCAATAAAACAATAAAATTTAATTACAAATAGATGTATACTGTTACGAGTTTT